ACCCAATTTCGAACCTGTTCATCCCACACTAGCACATTCCCATCCCAGGTGGCCCCAGCAGCATCTTTGACCTGACGCGCCAGCGATGGACACTTGTCCAAACTGGCTAACGGCCATGTTTCGAAAAGATGTGAAATGATAGGATTGCGGTCGTCCTATGAGGAAAGCGACTGTGAGTAGGACAAGAAAAAAATTTAAAGTTTGAGAGTGGCAAAGGGAACGTACTTTGTTTACGAAGTGCAAACTTACCACCTTCCCTTCGTCAAAAGAGGGCTTTGAAGCCCTTCGGGTTGCATCTGAGTGTATGTCCCTAGCCCTTTCCAACACGGCGAGGCTCTCTTCGGGAAGAATGCGTCCGACACGGCGGACACTCTGTGAGCATTGAGGTGGGGGGATTCCTCGTGCTCGTTTTGGCTGGGGCAAGGTGACAGGAGGTCGAGGGGGAGCAAACGTGGGCGTGCTTGTTGCGGCAGGAGGTTGAGGAGCGACTGCCGGGATATTTGATGCGCCAGGAGGTTGCAGGTGAGCGACCGGCGGTGTGCTTGATGTGTTTGATGCGGCAGGAGGCTGAGGCCGGTTTGGTCCCTTAGGCCGATGTTTGTAGCAACCACCTGGTAATCCAAACGCAGCGCAACACTGAAGGCACTATGTCAGTTGAGTGCAAGGATCTCATAAAACAAAGGGACTTACGGCTTTGCAATAATGGGAGGTACAACCAAGATTACCATGAACTCTATGCTTGGCTGCAGTTGGGCCGTGAGTTGGCCGAGCACACTGGATAGAAGGCGGGGGGCGTTTGGCTTTGGTGGTAGTGTTGTCTGGCGTGGGTTGAGGGGGTAGTACTTCCCCGTGAATGTTGACCGGAGGTCCATGCGCAGAAGCATCAAAGGCGATGGGATAAATGGCGCCGGCGTTGATCATGGCAATCTCGTGCCTCAATTGATTGAGTTTGAAGGTTTGGTAGTAATGCTTATCAATCGTGTCGCACTGGGTTCGGCCGTAAACGGTGAGACATGTCAGTTCAGTGGAGAATGAAATGAGGTGAAAGGCAAACTGCACGTACCTTCACTTTGATGGTATCCAGGCCACCGTGAACATAGACTAGAGACCGGTCGTTCCTGGGACAGTTTGGACAGGCCAGACCAACCTTGGCACCTGGGTACGGCATTGGTAAGGTGGGGTGGTGGGGGATGCGTCGGTATTTGCGACCGATGTAAGGTTCGCCGGCCATGTTGCGATTGGGATGGTGGAAGTTGCGAAAGCGGACATGATCGTGGATTTTGTTGAAGGTAAGTAATGAAAAAAAAAATCTGATGAAAAAATTTGCTCGTGTTTCATCCAAAGGTGGTGGTCGTGCGAAGGAATGAGGGTAAAAAAAAAGACGCGTGGATGAGGATTGAGGAGAAAGGAGGAGTATGGTTTGGCGGAGGTCTTGATGTCGAATAAAAAAAGAACCGACAAGCCCTGTGCGCAGCAAGGCCCGACGGGTATCACGGAATACACGGCTAATGCATATAGCGTGGTATGTCTATAGTAAAACCTGTAAGAGTTTGTGATAATTATCATGTGATAATTATCACAAGACATACGAAAGTCCGATGCTCCCAGGATTTGGTATGAATTTTGCGTTTCCCAAAATGCTCTGAACTTTCACATCGTGACGTACTTGGTTGGGTTAGGGTTCTGGTAGTGATAATATAGTTTCTGACCAAAAGCTATTGCCTATAAAAGCTTCATCTTTTCGCCTCAACTTTGAATAGACTCTCAATCACAACCCTCTTGAACCAAGATCGTCGCTTTGTTAGAAATCGTACTTGATTCTCAAAATTCAAAAGTCACGTCAACTTGGGATCATCAGTAGTTTCATTATCAACTGAAGCAAGAGGGTTCAGATTGAATTTCATACCACCGTATCTGCCGTTCTTGATGGGTATCCTCTTCATCGAGTTACTCGCGAGAAGGTAACGGTTCGTTTGTGTTGGTAACATTTCTTTCTTTTGCTTATCAGTCATAGCAAGTGTATTTTTGTAAAGCTTGGAGATGTTTTCAAACTTTGGATCCAACGTAGATCAGCTATCAAAGCAAAATAAGTAAACACTTTTGAGCCTCTGCTTGTGCTAGTGGAGTTGTGCCCTACCTGCGACGCTAGCTCCAATCAAATATATACTGACCAGCTCAGAAAGCGTCCTCTGACACCAATGAAAACCTCCAGCGACTCGAGACCCAGCTGAGTTATAGATCTTTATAGACTCACTGTAAAGCAAATTGTCCTACTTAGTGATATCAGCTTGACTTGATCGCTACCACAGCGAAACTCAGTAGTCCACAACCTCAACACACCTAAGTCAACTTCAACACACCGGATGTGAGGCTAAGAGGATGTGCAATGCTAGAGGTAGATGGCTCCTAATGGCTCACTGCGGTCCAGGATACGCTTAGCTCAGGATACGCAGATGACATCAATGCACTGCTCAATTGAATGAGAGTTCTCACGCGCTATAATTTGCAATATGATCAAATGTATAAAAGTGCTTCGAGTTAGATTTCTTTTGACCCCGCTGCCTATACTTCCTCTGATCACTCCCAGTTCATCTCAAGCGAGCCAGTATCTCCAAATTCATCATCAAAAAACCTATCGATTCACTCAATGGTCTCAAAATCAATCCCGTGGGGTCATGTCTTCAGATGGCAATTACTTTTCATTGCAAGCTGGCTTTCCTTCACTGTTGCCCATGGGTCTGACCATGACGATGATTTCACCTATGAAGACCCAATGAACGTTGTAAATGACAAGGTTAGTCTTACTTTTTGACTTACGAAGCAAGCTTTAAGCTCACCTCTGCGACTAGTATATGGGTTTACTAATCTGACGTATCTCTTCAGTCAATGTCTCTCAGTCTTCGAATGCACGTAGTCCTTCAATCCATCACTTGGGCCTTCATCTTTCCACTTGGATTAGTCTTAGGATTGAAAAAATCTCGTTATCATGTTCCTTGTCAAATTCTCGGTACACTTTTCACCATACCCGGTTTCCTTTTACCTTCATATTCTCATCTTGGAAAACCACCTCATCCTTCTCATGCTCATTCTGTTTTTGGATTTATTCTCATCTGTTACTTTTTCTTTCAATTCGGTCTTGGGATCTTTCTCAAATTACATATCTTTCAAAATTCTAAATTTCGTGATCTTCTTCAAAGATTTCATTTTTATCTTGGTTGTTCTTTTCCAATCATCAGTTGGACTCAACTTGTACTAGGTGGAGTAAGTTATTCTTTTTTATTGATTTTTTTTCCTCTTCAATGCTCATCAAAACGGGTTCTATCAGTCTGACATAAATTTTGATGTGATAACAGATCACTGGACTTCGAATTTGCTTTGGTAGTCATACTGGTCAATGTCTATCTCATATGATTGTAAGTTTCAAGTTTCTTTACCTGATTTTTTTTTTCAAAAAAGGTTTTTGGTCATACATACTCATAAGTTTCTTTTACTTGATAAAACATTATATGATTAGGTTGGATCTGCATTTATCTTTCATGGAATCTTTTTACTTTTAATGATTCATTTTGGTCAACCATGGCTCTCACATCGTGGATTCAGTCAAGAATTCTTGGATTCATGTGTATTCACATCTTGGGGTTTTATTAAAACTTTCACGTATGTGCTCTTTCCTAATCATCCTCTTTTATCATATTAATCATTAACTGAAGGTTTGAATTTTTGAAAAACAAAAAATCAAAAGTGAACATGGTGTATTTTTCTCAGGTGGATCGATTTGGTCACATCGGGATACTCAGAATACAGTTCTTGGTATCTTTTGGGTCATCACAGGATCTCTTGGAATTTACCTTTCGAGAGGTAAACGACGTTCAATCATCCCAGCATTTATTATCATTGTCACAGGTTGGACACTAAGTTCACATGAACAATCATCACCTTATTCCGATCTGGTTCATAATGTCTTTGGTTATACACTCATGGCAGCTGGACTTAGTAAATTATCTGATGTTTATCTTTCTGATCATCATCATAAGATTTCTTCTAGGATTCATTTGACTCCATTCCTTTTAACGGTTTCAGGTGTCATGTTTTTATCTGCTACTGATCAACAACTTAGAGTAATCTTAGTTAAACAGATCGATCATCCTACTTATGCTTTAATTCAAATTTCGATTTCAGCTATCATTTACTTTTTTGTTAACTTCCTTATAAGTCTGTTTGATTCAAAACATTCAATCATTGATCAATCTTCTGTGGAATATTGCGCTTTGGAAAGTTTTGATAAAGAAAACGTTGATAGTCCTTGATCATACAATTTTTGTTTGTATCTACAATTACACTTCTATCATTTCATATCTTGAAAAACATCAATTGTATTCTTCTTTCATCCAAAACTTTATTCATTTTCTTTTTCTTGTAAGCAAAAAGAAACAAATACCAAACTTTCAATCTTTAAAATATTTATCTTCTTTGATTGAACTAAGTTTTGTATTTCATTGTCATTCATCTCATCTCCATCATTCCCTTTGACCTCCATTTCAAATAAAATAAATAAATTCTCATTGATCTTTGATCATTGTGAAGAAAAGTTTAAATTCAAAAGATCATACACCATTAAACTGAGATAAAATTCAAAAATGATATCTAATCCAGAAAAGCTTGAGAGAGCTTAACCAATTCTACTCACAATACTTGATCAAATCAACCGGGAATTTTATCTCAAGCGTTTCCCCCAATTTGCTGTAATTACAACTTAACTTTTTTTCAATTTGATTAAAAAATAAAATTCGGCTTTTCTTTTATCCTTTTTCAAAGAATCAATCTTTCAAAAACTATAAGAATTTAATTCTCATCCAAAGATCAGTATCTATCTACTAAAGTTCTTTATAAAATGATTTTATTCTCTTCATCAAATCAAACGAACTTTAACTTAACAAGAAAGATTTTTTAAGATTAAACTCATTTCAAATCCCATTCAGATTTGAATCATTCAATTCATCAGCGAGATGGCGCAGCTGGTAGCGCGCTGGGCTCATATATCATTGAATCAAACATGTGTTGGTTGAAGGAGAGCTGTACCCAGAGGTCGTCGGATCGAAACTGACTCTCGCTATGAGTCTCTCATTTGCCTGGCAAGTCCTCTTCCCGAATACCTTCGAAAGAGACGCCTTCCCATCGAAAGGTGTTGATCACCATCGAAAGGTGCCCAATTTTAACCTTTAGATATCATGAATCACGAAAGAAGATTGATGGATTTGAAAGATGGCCTGTTGAGTCCGTGGCTTGTATCTCAATAGTTATTTTGTGTTGATGGCGATTATATATTGTTTTGGAGAATGGTTTGATCAGAGTTTCCAAATGAGAATAGATTGGTTTTAATCATTCTCGATTTGATCACTCATAGATTCTCAACCGTCGCGGTACTCTGACTCGGACTCAGACCGAATCCGAGATGGTTTTGAATTTGAATTGAATTTAATCAAATCCAAAAGAAGCAAAGCATTCAACTTGACAAGCAGCTGATTCGATCGATCTTGGATGAAAGATGTCATACTATTTCGTTAAGTTTCTTTCTTTAGATTTCATTGTTCATCACCTAACCAAAAAACAATCAATCAATCATACTAATACTTTAATACTTTAAAATACTATTGTATAGGTGATTGTAGGATCAAATGATAAAGTAAACCAAACCACTTTCTCTTTCTAATCAACTTCCCACCAAAAAAAAAGAAAAACCAAGAAAATCAAGACCGAAAAACTAATTCTCCTCCCGCCCCAAAACAAATCGAAACAATTCTACTTTTGATGATTTTTAAATTGATATAAAAGCCAATTTATCAAATCGATTTAATCACCAGTAAAACTTCAATTTCATCTTCAGTACCACCCTCTAAATTAAAAAACCATTTAATCTTTTCACTCTTTGAAACTTTCAATTCTACATCCACCAACACGAACACCAACACCAACACTTCCACTTCCACTTCAATCGAATCCGATCCATTAACTTATCCCACCAAAAATTCAAATCAATCTCGTGATGTTTTAGAATTAATCGTCAATGCATCTTTAGATGATTTAAATCATTTAATTTGGAATTCTAAATCCATGTGATCATCTCTTTTTTTTTCAAACTCTCACTTCTCTTCTCTTCATTTTTCCAAAAAAATTTCAGATTGGTTTAAATTTAATTGAGTTTGATTGATTTTGATGATGGGTTCGGTTTAAATTTTTTTTTTTTCTAAAATAGGTATTTCAAGAATTTAGATCAATTTCATCAATGGTCTATTTCTGCTTTAGTTCCAGCAGGTGGTAAGTTAACTTTAAATCATTTCATATGAAAAAGAAAATAACAAAAAATAAAACACACACACACACTCAAATTTGAGTTAGATTCAAATTAATTTTTTGTATTTATCTTTCTACAGGAATTAGATTAATCTTATTACATGAAATCAAAAATGAGGATGGGATTCGTCATTTCTTTTTAGAAGTTTGGGAATTGATCGTTAATGTTAAGCTTGATTTTTTCTAATTTCAAGTTCCATTCATCTTTTCATCATTCTCATTCAAATCTTCTCTCTGATCCTCATTCTTTTCTTCTGTTTCTTTCTTCTCAGATTCGTTTATCTCCTTTTTATAAACCAAATTCAAGAATTCATTCAAATCAATTTGATACCAAACTTAAAGCAAGTGCACGTAAACATTTATGAATCAATATCTTTTGATCTTTTTGATGTAAGATGATCAAAACCTAAACTTTCAATGGTAAGTTGTAAATTCTTAATCAAAATATCTTCAATTCAAACAAGATTGGTTTGTGATTTATATTATGAATCCAGGATCTTGATTTTGAAGAACTTAAAGAAACTAATCAAATATACAAACTCATTCTTATCAAACTTTTGAACTTCAATCTCAATACAATCAACTCCAAACTTAATTCATCAAATGATTCGTTTAACCAACTTAACCAAACGTAAAAATAAAATCCAAATCCGATCACGTGATTTTGAAAATCGATGAAATAAGAAGACCAAGAATCCAATCAAACTGATCAATCTTAAGATCACTGCCATCATCAAGGCTTTACGTACAGCTGTATAAAACGTAGTGAGTGCAAGGGTAGAACGTGAACGTGAATGGTAACGTTGATGAGTGGGTTGCCATCTACGAAGTACACTACGATATCTTCCACCCAAGATCCAAATCAATCCATTCACATCTGGGTGATTGAATTTAGGAAAGATACTAGTGAGACTAGGTGTAGTGAGGGTGATTTCATCGGGTGGTGCGTTGAGATGATCAAGACGAGGGATTGAAGGTGATCTGAAGAGTGGTGATTGAGTTGGAGTTAAGATTGGAGTGGATGAAAGGAGAGGTGATCTATGATCTAGAGCAGGTCTTTGAAGATGTCGTCCAGTTGATGCAAACTGAGGATCAGCAATGAAGGTCATCAAATCCCTATTGAAAATCAAAATCAAACCTCATTCTATGATCAGTGATGATAGACAAATTTCTTGTTTTTTTTGTTTTGAAAAAGTATCAAATTGAACATTACAAGGTGATACCAAGGGTGATACCCCAAAGGTCAAGATCTTGGTTTGATTTTTTTAAATTTTCATCCTCACGTTTAAAAGTTGAGCTTGAAGGAGCTAGTACCGAAGGATTATCTTTTAGTAAGATTGAAGGAAATTTCATATGACCTAATAAGAAACTTAATAGGTTTTTCATCATCATGGAATGTTGAGTGGGTAAGATTCTAGATGAGATCTCAATCTTCACTTCACCCCAACGAACTTGAGGACCTAATAATTGATCAATCGAGATCCAATAAGCAGCTGCGACTTCGTTTGAATCGATTTCTAATTTAGGTACTTGATCCGTTTCATCACTTGGTTTTAAATAAAGATAAACAAAACTACTTAAGATCATTAATAATCGTTTACCTAAAGCGGTGGTGATCTCCCGATCATCTAATTGACCGATCAAAAGATACTCCTCTTCCGCCAAATCGATTCCAATCTCTTCAAACGTTTCTCTCAATGCACAAAATTCACCATCTTCATCTTCCGGTTCCATTCGTCCACCTGGAAAAGCTAAGTGTGATGACCATCTATCGTTTGATCGGTTGGAACGTTTGATAAATAAGATTTCAATGCTGGAAGATTGAAGGGATGGGTTTGAAAAGAATTCATTTAAAGTTGACTTGAAAGTTGATTTTGATTTTGAAGTTGAAGTTGATTTTGATTTTGAATTGGATGGATGAATTGGATTGGTTAAATTTGAATTTGAATTTGAATTTGAATCTGAATTGATTGAAGAAGAAGAAGAAGAAGAAGAAGTTGAAGATGATGATAAAGTAGTAGTAGTAGTCGAAGTGAAGTGAGATGGTTTTAATCGAATAACTAAAAATTAAAGAGTTGTATTAGAGAATGATTGAATTGAATCGAATTGGAATGATGATGATGAAAGACTAAACTGATAGCTACACTTGCTCTTTTAGTTTTGATGGATCGTTTGGTAGTTGGATTGATGGATGAAGTTGAAGTGTGGATAGATTGGTTTTTTGTTTTTTGATAGTCTTCATGAATCCTATCACTGATCAGGATGGGTTGGTTTGAATGAATCGATAAAAGTGCTTGATGCAATTTATTTAAATAATTCATTTTATTTTAAGAATGCTCAATCAATCAATCTCTTCTCCTTAAAGTGTTGGTTGATTGTTCTGGCGGTGCTTGTCTTATTCAACCCCATCCAATCCAAACTTTGATTTGGTCAACTGAACCCCAATGAGAGTACAGTCGTACCTCGGAAATCCGGTCCTCGGATATCCGGTACCCTCCAAAATCTGGTTGGATCTTGATCCACCGAGGTGGTTCCCAGCCAGATATCCGGTAACCTCCATATTCTGGTATCCGGTGCTCAAAAACAAAGAAATCGAATTTCAGAGGTGGATTTTATAGGTGGGTTTAGCTACAAGGCTAAGGCCTCGTTCGGCTGGTGCATTATAATGTACCTTAATCCGAAATTTGGATTAAATTTTTAATTTAATGTGCATTAAAAAAAAAGGTGTTCGGCGGAGTTTTAATGCAAAATTTTAATCGGCTTAAACTGCCGAAAATGCACCAAAAAGGTACTTAAAAATAATCGACTCTACAGTCGATTATTTTGCTGAAATGGTGCATTAACCCATTAAATCCCTTTCCATCCTTCATCGGTCCTTCCGATTTCATCGGACTTGTCTTTTTTTTAGGTCACAGAGTCTAATTGCATTTCAATACTAGCACTTTGTAATGGAGATCACTGTGCGCTGATCACCAACACATCATCACAACTGAGCAACTCTCTATCCAAGTTAAGTTGCCCAAGATACCACAATAATCCTCCCAAGGCCATCATTGTCTCAGGTTTAGAATGAATTGAAGAGATGGCCTCTGTAATTGATTTCTTCACTTCTCCAAACAAATCAGAAAGTCTAGAGAGACATTCATCAATTTGTAAATATTCATCTGTCTCAAGTGCAGTCCAAGTACAATCTGATGATGCAATGTTTTTTAAAACTCTCATGGTAGAAGTTGATAAACCACCTTTTTTGTGAACGATCTCTTTGGGTCAAAATCAATTGCATTCGATGAATTTTAATCGAATTCATCGCCAAACACTTTTCACATTTTCAGGTACATTAAATACGAAAATGTGAAAACGAGCGAATAATGCGTTTAACGCATTTTACAACGATATAATGTACGACGGATTAATGTACCTTAATGCATTAAACCACAGCCGAACGAGCCCTAAGATTTTGGAGCAAAAATAAGCTCAAAGCTGTTTGAACAGTGTTTTCCTCGCGCTCAATTTGATTTTCGTCACTCGATCACCTTTATTTTTGATTGTGAGGTGAGAAAAAAGTGTTCGGATTGGAAAATACAATATCAAACGACTTTGTTTGATTGTGAGTGTAGTCATATCTAAAACAAGCCAATAGGACATCTTTGACAATGGGTCTTTGATTGTCCAATTGGCCTTCATGCTCAGACAGACCTGAGAATTGAGTGACATAGTCCGTTCTCCCCTCCTAATTTCTGGCTCAGCATTTTTTTTATTTTTTATTTTTATTTTTTTATTTTCTAGAATCCGGTCACCTCTGCTACCCGGTACCAATGTCTGACCCCAGTACAGTGCAGCGCATTTTAGGTGCAGTCTGCACTGTGCGGGCACAAGGCACAGTGAGCACTGTGCAGCGCTGGTTACACAGCGCAGTGGGCAAACTTTGGGAAAACCCATGCGCTGACACAAGCGCCGTGCAGCGCAGTGCAGGGGCTCAAAAACTGCGCAAAAACAATATTTCAAAAAGTTGGCAAAAACTAGCCTGAGCCACACGAGAGAGAGCACACAAAGATGGAGAAATATAAATGAGAAGTGATTACAAGAAAGAAAGAGAATGAGATCAAACAGAAAAAAAAGAAAAAAAAAACAAAAAGTGATTACAAGAAAGAGAATGAGATCAAACAGACAAAAAAAGAAAAAAAATCTGAGAGAGAATACTTGTAACTACACGTCCGCCACTTTTTTCTTCTTGGCCAAACCAGCAACAAGCTGGTCTACAGCAGCCACCGCCTTTCCAAGATCTCCATCTGGTACAAACTTTTGCTTGAGCCATTGACAGACACCAACTGCGCGTTCAATTGATCTTGATTTCAGACCACCTCGTCGATTTGAACACACAATTGCTGCAGTTGAAAAAGTCCTTTCAACTGCGCAAGAAGAGCCCACGCAAGCCAAGAAGTCGCGAGCCAATTTGGCGATCTTTGGAAATCGCTTTTGATTGAGCTGCATAGATAAAGAATAAAGCAAGCTCAGAAAAGCAACTAATGAAAACTAAAGAGAATATATTCAATAGAAGAAATGATTGTACGTACCTTCCACCATTTCAATATATCAGTGTCACGTTCGCATGGATGCATTCCTGAAAAGTACTGATCAATTTCTTCGTCACTTGTCAGAACATGAGTAGCAGAAGAGGCGAAAATATTGGTTTCATCCAGTGGATCGAATGGGTGATTGTCTTCATTATTGCCCTCAGGTGTAGGGTTCTTTGCAAAGTGAGCATCATTTTGCTCATACTGGCAAAAAGTTTCGCGAAAGAGTTCCTCGGTGCGAACAGCATAATCAGGATACTTGCTCTTGAAGTACTCGAGTCGAAGTCTCGGATTGAGAACGGTGGCCATCACAAGTGGATCACAGTGAAGGGCCTCTGTCTGATAATCGCGGAGCTGGTTGATCATGCCGTTGAGCATGTCCGATAATCCTTGATGAGGTGTCTTCTTTTTGATGTTGACAAGTACTGATATCAATCCCGAATACTGGAACAGAATGGAAGCTCCCGTGGGGCCATCACACTCCATCTTCTTTGAGGATTGCAGAAAATACTGTGAAATAAATTAAAATTCAATAAAGAACATATATATATAGTCAAAAAAGGAGATTGTGAGAGTAAAATTGAAAGACACTTACACCCAAAACGTCGTTCAAAGCTTCAATAGCTTTCCATTCCTCAGGACTTATTGTTATACCTTCGTAGAAACCTTCTTGGTCGTCGTTAATCATGAAATTGATTACCTACGCAATGAAAGATTATAAATATGTGCCATGAAAAAGCAAGAGACTTGATCACTTACTGATTTAGCTTTGCACAAGCGTGTTTGCGCATCAAACCATATATTCCATCTCTGACCATGCGCTCCAATTAGTCCTCCACCCACAAATCCAAGCTGAGAAGCACACATCTTGAAGTGATTGAGTCGTCCTGCACTAGAAGTGATCAATTTGTTGATTCTTCGTACCTTTAAAACAAAATAGTTAATGTATTTATTTCAACTAAGTGATGGAAGCACAATTGCTCACCTTAGTAACTGCTCGGGGTAAGAGAGCGGCATCTGGCTGCTGTTCCCGGTAGTCGGGTGCTTCATCTTCATCCTCGGAGTCGTCACTGGCCTCTACATCCTTACCTGAATCTGTACGGGCATCCTCTTCGTCATCACTATCTTGATCAGCTGCTAAGTCACCATCTTCATCAACAATGGTACCATCAGCCATTACAATTCTTGGTGCAGGGAGATGATCATCAGGAAGGAGAAGTCGTAGCCTTTTTCCGGAAGGTATGGTTGGTTTTGTTCGGCCATTATCACCTAATCCAATCACCTCAAGGCCGGCTTTGACTGTCAAAGCTAGCTTGTGACAGTAGCATCGAATTTGATTGCGTGATGAGTCCCAGAAGATGGGGTCGTCGCATCTCATGAACATAATCTCAAGCTCCTTTGCCAAGATTGGGTTGCTGGAGCCTGAGTCTGTTGTCTGCGCTACCATGTATCATGAGGATGAAATGGATATTAGTATATATTAGTATAATAATTATATGCAACCAAGAGAAAAAAAAGAGTCGGTAAGAAGGGACCTATCTTTTTATGGAGACCATGTCGAATGAGGAATTTTCCCACAGGCCGAGCCAGCAATGCACCGTAATGATTCCATGCAATCAGCTTCAATGTCAGATGGGTGACATGAAACTGCCAGCCGTCGTCGATATAAGATACCGCCACTCCGATGAAGGCTCGTTTGCCTCCTTTTGTGGTCCATACATCGTGTATGACACAAACCTTTGAATTGAGAACCTATCAATGCAGAAGGAATAATTTATATTTAGTACATTGTTTATGTAAATAATGATCAACAAGGAAAAACTTACCTTGAGAGTCCGAACCAGCTTGGTTCGGAACTCTTCAAAATACTGCATTGCCCGCCGAGCCGACCAAGATGCCGACCATAGAGTCGCGTTGGAATTACAAAGAGCGAAAGCTGCTTGTAGATAAGGGTCCTCCATACGTAGCCATGGAATACTGTTCCGTAAGAGCCATAGCACTAAAATCATGTTGAAAAGTCCTACCGAAAATTTGGGCACGTTCAAGAAAGCTTCGAGAGAAGCTTTCTCATGTTGATATTTCTTGGCTTCTTGCTCGGCATCTTTTGTGGCTTGCTTCGTCTTCCAAGTTGGAGGAAGTTTGGCTCCGGCAGCGATAGCCTCGTGACGATTTTCGCATTCGGACCGACCAACATCGCCATCTCGGTGACCTTTGAGATTCCAGTTGCCCTTTATACCAATCTTGTATTCCTTCGGGCACCATTTACACTTGCGATACATGGGCTTTTCGTTTTCTTTCTGTGTATTAGCAATATTGAATCAGCTCGATTCTAGAAGAGGTAGTGATGAATCAGACAAATAAACTTACCTGACTGCTCCCTAAGACTACATCCGCCGAAAAGTAGTCTGGCACGGGATCCAGTGTTTCTGCCTCAGTTTGGGCATCGGATACAGGTCGGGGTACTTCTTCAATATCGGAATCTTCATCGGGATTGATGTTTGCAGGAAGTTTGTACTTCTTTGACTTATTAGACCGATACGACCAATACAGGAATAGAGAAGAAATTCAGAATGAGAAAAAAAAACATTGTGAATTTTGTAGGGAGAGACACGTACCTGTTTCTTGCGCTTCGCCTTGGATTTCTTCGCCGGTGTTTTTCGATTCCGCTTACCATTGGTAGGGGAGGCTTTGCTTTTGAATGAGACATCGTTTGTCTTATCATTTTCTTCATTGCTTCCTTCATTGTCGGTGACAAAGTTTGGATCATCTGCTTTGCCGGCATCTTCATCATCTTCTAAGTTGATTGTGGGAGGAGTGACTTGAGGTGGTACCAAAGCTTCGTTATTTGATGTAGATGACTGAGTTTTTTTTTGAAAAGCCGAAGACCGGGAGTTTCGGTTGGATTTGGTTGTTTTTTTCATTGTAGTGTCCTTGATGGAATAGATTACGTGATACTTTGATTGATACTTTGATCGATTAAAGAAAAAACAGTTTGATCGATTGAAGAAAAAATTATGGAAGAATTTGTGAAGCAAACAAATAAATAGTTGGCGAGTTAAATTCGAGGAAACCTGAAGTTGAATCCGTAAGTCCATGTTGGTTCGAGATCGAGGGGTTCGTTCGGAATCGAGGTCATACGGTTGGGAGATGGTGATGTTAATTTCGAGGGGTTTCTTCGGCATCGTGGTCATACGGTTGGGTGATGTCACATCTGAATCCAAGGTGAAGGCCCCCTTTGCTTGTGTAGAGATCCGATTCCCGGCCGGGCTTCAACGCAGGGCTTTTTTTTGGCGCAGGGCCGCGCAGCCTGCGCACACTGTGCAGGGCTGCACTGCGATTTCACCCAGTGGCCAAATAATCCGCCAGCCCATGCGGTGCGCGCTGGCGCAGTGGACCTTTCCCCAATTCCCAGTGCGCTGGCGACCAGCACAGCCACAGTTTTTGCGCAGTGAACTGCGCTGGGAGTCGGGGATTGCCGGTACGAAAGCCGTCCACCAAGCGTACCGGATTTCCGAGGTATGACTGTATATCCCATGATGCAATCTAGAAAAGCTTCACTAATCTTGCCTGTCAAACGTGTGCAAATCAGGCGGGGAAAACATGGCAAGCTTTTTCCTCTACCCATATCATTCTCTTCATCAGCTAAGATTCCACAACTGATCTCAATCACTTCACTAAGACCATCCACAGTGGTGCGCTCCAAAATCGGGCCTATCGCCAAGTTTGATGACTGAGCCCCGGCTTTGGCTCCAATACCGGTCCCCGTCGCCAATTTTTTTTGTAGCCGGCTTCAACATTTAAGCTTCGGGCTACACCACGGGGCGACTTTGAACTGAGCCCACCTGAAATCAAAGCAGTGTGGCCTCAGGTGGAGAGCCCGGGAAAAAAAGGGCATTTCTAGGTGACAGGAACGTGGGGGATGCCACGTGGTCCTCACCCAGGCGGTCACCTAGCCACAACATGAAAAAACTGAGCACATCGGTGTAGTGTCATCCAGGTCTCATTCAACTTCATGTGTCTGAGTACATATTGCATAGCCTGATGTAGTGCAAAGTAGCTTGATGCAAAATATAGTTGTCAAAGCGCCAGCACAGTACAGGTCTATATAGCTCAGTGGTTTAGAGTGGCTGCCTGCATCCCTGCTCCATACCAGCAGGCCATGTGTTCAAGTCTCACTGGGTCTACATTTTTTTGCCTGTATTTGATTTACTCACCTAATGACCAGGTTAGCCATCACCTTGTGGACACGTGATCACATCAGGTGTTGGCCACCCTGAGTTTCACCTGAAATCAAATCAGTGTGGCCTCAGGTGGAGAGCCCGGGATTTTTTGGCAGAGGACCATTTCACCTGATGCTCACCTGCCAGCCGCCCCGTGGTGTACAAATTGGGCAAAATAGAGGCGGGCTCCAAAACCAGGCTACCTTCCCTTTCCCATAGTCACATGGAGCCCAAAAGCAGTCAACCACTCTCCCAAATCAGAAGACACTCCAGAGACTGGAACAGGTACGGGGTATAACTACAGCCTCTAAAAACACCCACAATTGGGCCAGGAGCCAACTGTGCGCAGGGGTAGCACAGAGTAGACTTCAACTACTGTACAGCATCAGATATGGCTGGGCTGTAGTGGTCTGAGTGAATCATGTGAGGGCAACAATATCAAGTGAAGTGAAGTGGAGTCAAAGTCAAGAAAGAACAGTTTATGAAGATGATGATCTCATCTGATCTACATCTTTCAATTGACATCAATCTCAATTTAAATCTATCTACATCATTCAACATATCTTGCCTCTTCAATAAACAATACTATCTCTTTTGGATTCAAATTTTCTAAAAAAAAAATTGATCTCACTTCATTAAATCTAAATATGATTCTTGGTCTATTGGTATACTTTTTTTTTGAATGAATTAACCCAAAAACACTTCATCAAACTTTCCTTTTTCCTTTTTGCCAAAAGACTCAATGAATCAAGTTGTAAGATCAAAAAAAGAAGAATACTCTACAAGATTTAATTTAAGATCTTAAACTCACACCAAGAAACCTACAATCCATACACAACACAAACATATTGTCTCAGATCTGAGAGCATCCCATGAATACTACTTACTGAAGTGGAGATCTGTAAGATATTGATAAGTACAAGGGAGATGATGTTGCTTACCACTTTTGCCAGTTTTCTATAAAAGTAATTCAACTGAACTTCATCTGTGCCTCAGCCACAATTTCTCAAACCATACTCACCAATAAAAAAAATTCTCTCACTGTTAGCCATCTTAACAAACAAAAACAAAGACAAATCCTTCTCATAAGTAGCCTCCTTGTCCTCTCATTTTGCTCCACTTTGTGAAAGAAAAAACTTGATAGACCCAAGAGTATAAGTTTGTAAAGGGGAAAAGTCTTTGAAATCCTTGATAAATATCTGACAAATGATTTTTTCTTTTGCTGATCATCCTTCATACCAGAACCTGTCTCTACAGTAAAATTGATGATGATCATCAAGAGAATATTAGAAATGACACATGAAATCCAATCTTTGAAGTCTTTGTTGCATCAGTACATAGCTCAGATTTCATATCTTCCTGATCAGTACAAAAAACTGTATGGGTGACTGTGCTGATTTGAGCCTCTTCATCAAGAACACATAATCCCTATATTTTCTTGATATTCTTGATTGAGGGGATAAGATGTACTGTGCACCAAGAAATAAACTATCTACATTAAGAGGGGTATGATTTTAATCAATTACACTTGTCAATCTCCCAAGAAGGACATACAGGAATGCCGTAGTGCATATAATTCACTGTGGCAATCACAGGTAGGTTTTCATCTATACAAAGGGCCTTCTCACACAATCAATCTGGTCACACCTGTCATGTTCTCAACAGCTCCTTGGTCCATCATATAAGCAACCCAATTTCACTCACTCATTGCATTTTCCATTTGAGAGTAGTCATATGTAGATGACTGATACACAGGGGAATTGCCCTGTCCTACATGCCAAAGACCACAATGAACTTATTTTACAGAGAAGGATATACTTCATAAGCACACAATGAGAAAAAACCATGATATGTGACTTGATGGAAGAATTTGTCAACAGGAACAGAGATCAAAATTTGATGGTACTTACTGTTGTTTCATGAAATCTTGCCAAAAAAAAGAAAAATGAAATTCACAATGTGACAAAAATCAGGTTGGTTTCAAATATATAGAAATTTGAAGAATTTTTTTTAACTCAATTCAATCAAGTCAGAATTTTCAAAAATCCAACTTGATATGAAAACAAAGAAAACATTGAGTTTTCACCCTTTTCTATTGTATCATACATTTTCTTTCTTTGGAAAAACATTCATGAAAAAAAGAGGATGTGTGTTTCCTTTTACACACATCAACACACTCTTTTCATAAAAAGAAGGTAGACAAATTTAGAATAAAGAACTCAAAAACGATGTTCTGAACACCATGAGAAATATCTCAATCTAAAGAAGCTAAGAGTTTTAGAGAGGGTGATTTTCAAGCACCAAGATGTTTCCTAATCTATGTGATCTTCACAAAAATTTGCTAGATCAACATCATCTCACTCACCCACCTCATGAACTACCAGACCGTAACTATCCATCCAAGTGGACTTATACAATTTATCTGGCCAACAGAATTGTAATGGAAAGATCTTCAACATTACAGACTCCAGATACAGGAGATAAGATTTTGACCAATGAACTTTCTGTTGACCTGAGAAATTTGGTACATGCAATCTATGCCAGATGGAAGATGTGATGAGTGGTGAATACAGACTTTTACTATCTTAAATACATAAACAGGGCACTCTGTCAAGCACCATCACATTTCTCAATGTTGATGATCAACAGGAAAAGTTTCCCAAACAGCTATCATTCAGTGATACATATGAAACTCCTCATGGGATGTTTATGTTTTGCCTTGAGATTCATTAATTACAGAAAAGTGATTTTTTTGAAATCACATGAACTTCACTACTCTCTATGTTGGGTATGGTTGAAGGTCTTTAAATAATCTCATTTTGGGTCACATTTGAGAAATATAATTTGGGTAAAAAGTTCAATGTAAACCTTCCTCTGATCTTTCTCACCTCAACCTTCTTTAACATCCATCACATCTTTCACACTGTTTTGTCAGGATGAGCACTGGTGATGTCATTTCTGTTGTCTTTTTTTAGCTATAAAACTCATTGAGCACAGAACCAAACCTTGGAATCTACACCCACTTGGCTGTATTGATCTGTGGTTTGATTGAATCTTTTTAAACTCAAGACATTTTGATAGATACAAGAAATGAAGAAGCAGGCAAAAGAAGAGAAGGTGTCAAACAAGAAAAAAATGATGAAAAAAATGATCCATGATGGAGAAAAGAGAAATGAATCAAGAATTTTTCTTTTATGATAGACACTCTTTTGAAAACAATTTAAGTTGAAGATGATGTTGAAGAGTAGTAGATAGGTTCTTATGACAACCAAAGAATTTCAAACAGTCCTTTTTGGCTAAGTTTGAAAAAAGAAGATTATTGAGAAATGATCTCCTTTTTTGAGATTATCCAAATGGATCTTTCAATCTCCTTTTGGGAGAGGGATCAAGATTATTTTTTTGGTATCAAGATTGCTGGCAAACAAGATTTTTTCAACAAAGATTATTTTGAAATCTTGACTGTGATTATGAAAAATGATGGCACAAAATAATCCCAACTGAACATGCTTTAATCAATGGTGATATACCAAATTGGTCTCTTGAACATATGTGCCATAAGAATGACATCATCATAATTTCATCATAACCCAAGAATGACAGGTTCAGAAATCCAAGTGTGACTCCAAAGTAACTATGTGTGATTTTTATGTTTGATTGATGTTAGATATAATTATTTTTTTTGTCTATGGATTGATGTATCTAGTATCTTATTTACAAATTGAAATAAAAAGGAAAATTGAAAAATTGAAGAAAGTTAAAACTAAAAGATAATTACTTATCTAAGTTTCATCACCTTCTAATAAATTCCATAAAGCTTTCAAAACATTAGATGAGATCCAAGTACTTTTATCTTCATAAATCGGTTCTTGATAACTTTCTGATGAATCTTTAGAACATTTAAATTTGATTTCATTTGACTTACTTAGATCTTCTCTTGAATTCAAATCACTTTCTTTGATTTCACTTTCAATTCTTTCCTTATCATTTTGAAGACTTGATCTTGATTTCCTTTTCAACAAACCTGAGTTTTGATCCTTTTCATCTTGATCAACCATCTCTAATTGATCATCATCTTTTCTTAAGAGGTTTTGAATTGGGTTTTCGAGCTCTGATGAATCTTTATCAAATGGATTCATCAAAACTTTTGATCTAGAATTAGAAATCAAAGATGAAGATGAAGACAAAATTTCGAAGTTTAGTATAGAATGATCTCTAAGCTCCAAGATAGATAACTCAGGATCTTTGATTAAATTGGAATTTGAATGAAATACTTTTTGACTTTGTGATATGATTAAATTATGAACCATTGAATAATTGGGTGATCTTCTGAACTGTTACTTACATCAAAACAAATTTTCATGATTCGAAAAAACAAAATTTTCAACATTTGGTCAGAATTTCGGTTTCCTGAATTCAGTGAAACTCTTTCAATAGTCAATCTTCACTTACAGATGAATGAGAATCGAATCCCTCTGAATTTATTCGAATTCGATCTTCGTAAGTCTCTGATTCTTTTTCTGATTGAATTTGTTGAAGATTTTCATTAAATCTTTCTCCAAAACCTTCAAGATCACTCTTCTTAACTCTTTCCTGTTGATTGATTTTAAGTTGAATGAAATTGAATGAATTCATGATTAATTTTTTGAATTTTTTATTATACGATTTTAAAGGTTTAGTAGAATTACTTTTTTTATTATCTGATCCAACGCTATCAATTGATGAAGATTCAATCAGAAAATCTATAAATGATTTTGTTTTGTTACAAAAAAAAAGTGACTCACTTTGAATAAACAGAAACGGAAGAAGTTAGGTGATCCATTGATTGAAACTTTCGAATATTCAAATCTTCAAAGTTTTATTGTTTGATGGTTGAGCTAAGTGGAAAAGAGTTGATTATGTTGTTTGATGGTGTTGATGGATGAAGATGGATGTGATTTCTTAAGACCAGAGAGAGAGAGAGAGGA